CCCAGTAACAGCTTAGGTCTTGGGACCTTCTGTGTAGTGTTCCTCCTTGAGTCTACCTGTCCTGTCTCGAAAGGTATACTTTTGCCTTTATATTAATAAACCTACTCCTGCTTAATTCCCTTCTATGTCCATCCTTAATTCTTTTCTCTGAGGAGACCAAGAACTTGCTAGCCTCCAGACTCAGAGACCCAAATCATGTCACAGGCCCACCTAAATAACCCAAAATACTCTCTGCATTCCAGCATCCTTAAACTTAATCACATCAGCACATTTGCATAGTTCCTTTTGCTATGTAAAATAGCAGTCTCGTTTTCTTGAGTTGGGATGTGGCCTATTTGGGAGGTTATCATTTCTGTCCACAAAGTAAAGAAAGCAGCAGCATCTTTAGGGATAACTGAAATGAGAATTTCTCAAGTGGTTTCTGAGGGCTCTGGAACAGCTGAAACTTTATGGAATATGAGCTAAAGACAGCCTGGAGGAGCATTAGTCATTCATGTGCTGAGAAGTTGTGCCCTGAGGACTTCCAGGAGTGAAGGATCTTCAAAGTGTGGATAAGAACTGGGACTGGAATGATGGCTCTTGCTTGAGTTAGGTCATGAGGTTTTCAGTTGGCTATAGAATTAGAATTGCTATTTCACATTTACATCCACAAGTACTATTCTAGTTGAACTGTGGGAATGTGAAGAAAGAAGAGGAATCTGGGAATTCAGGCCTGCTTGAAATATGCATCAAGGACAGTGCTTGAAAGGTTTGGAGACTAGAAGTGGCTAGGAGGTAGGCAGGAGTGGATCACATGAGGAATGGTGTAGAGGGACAGAATGCCAGTGAAGACAGACAGCAGGGGAATGAGACTAGATAAGCTCACCTTGATGGCCAAAGCCCCTTGAGAGCGTGACTCAGATATGATTCATAGCTATGTGCCCAGCCTGTGGAGTTCAAGACAGGCTGGAATGATTAGTGGGCAGTGACTGGGTGAAGCCAAATCACTGGGGCCCTTTCTGAACTGGGCTCCATGTATTACAGAGATGTTATTTGGAGGATTTAGGCTCTCACATTCATGATGCAATACATCTTACTGTCTTGGATTCTTTTTTTTTTTTTTTTTTGTCATGGGGCCTGAACTCTGGTACTGGGCACTGTCCTCAGCTCTTCAGTTCAAGGTTAGCACCTTACCACTTGAGCCACAGCACCACTCCCAGATTTTTCTGCTTCTGTGGTGCTGAGGAATCGAACCCAGGGCCTCATGCACATGATACAAGCAGTCTACCACTGAGCCAACTTCCCAGCCCTGTCTTGGATTCTTTTCCACAGTCCATTAGCTGTTGCAGGTGCCAATGAATGTGTGTTAAAACCATGCTGCAAAAGCTGGGCGCCAGTGCTCAACTTATAATCCCAACTACTCAGGAGGCCTAGACCCGAGAGTCATGGTTCAAAGCAACTCAGGCAGAAAAGTTTTTAAGACTCTATCTCCAATTAACCAGCAAAAAGCCAGAAGTAGAGGTGTAGCTCAAGTGGTAGAGTACTAGCCTAGAGCAAAAAAGCTAAGGCAGAGCTGAAGGCTCTGTCACCAAAACAAAACCAAAAAAAACCAAAAAACCCCCAAAAACAAACATGTTGTAATAGAAATACAGGGGAAACAGGAAAAAGGAAAAGTTGACCAAGTCCCACAAGTAACTAGAGTTCCTATATGCCTTGTAACATACTATCAAACAGAATAATTCCTTTTTGAAAAGTTCATTTTCTGCATGGCTTCATGATCTTCTTTAACCCTCTTCCAGAGAAACCTATATGTTTAAAAACAACAACAATAAAAACCCAGATGGTACTGGATGCCAGTGGTTCATGCCTGTAATCGTAGCTACTCAGGAGGCTGAGATCTGAGAATTGCAGTTCAAAGCCAGCCCTGGCAGGAAAGTCCATGAGACTCCAATTAACCACCAAAAAGCCAGAAATGAACAAGAGGTTTTTTTCTTTGTTGTTTTTGCTTTGTTTTTTGTTTATCTGTTTTGGGGAGGGTAAGAGGAGGGCATAGAAATGGAGGGATAACAAGAAAACTGGAAGTGGTGCTGTGGCTTAAGTGGAAGAGCCCAGGCCCAGAGTTCAAGCCCTGTGACTGACAAAAACAACAACAAGAAAGAAAGAAAGAAAGAAAGAAAGAAAGAAAGAAAGAAAGAAAGAAAGAAAGAAAGAAAGAAAGAAAGAAAGAAAAGAAAGAAAGAAAGAAAGAAAGAAAGAGAAAGGAAGAAAAAGAAACAAAGAAAGAAAGGGAGGGATAAAGGGTGAAAAAATAAATGTAGCAGAGCTACATTAGAGCTCACCTTGATGGCCAAAGCCCCTTGAGATCAGGACTCAAGTATGATTCATAGCAAAGTGCCCAGCCTGTGGGGCAGACTAGACATTATGTTGAAAATGAACTATATAACTTGTGGGTGGGAACGGGAGGGAAAAACTGGGAGAGAATAAGGGAAAAACTGGCACTGTCCAAAAGGAAGTGTATTCATTACCTGATTATGTAACTGTAACCCCTCTGTACATCACCTTTGTAATAACAAAAAATGTATTTACAAAAAAAAGTTTTTTTAAGCTAGAAGTGGATCTGTGGTTCAAGTGGTAGATCACTAGCCTTGTGCAGAAAAAACTCAGAGACAGTACTTAGGTCCTGAGTTCAAGCTCCAGGACCAGCACAAAAAAACCCAATCAAGGTGTTGGAGGCATGGTTCTGCTGGTAGAACACTAGCCAATGAACAAAAGTGTCAGGTATGGGGGCTGGGAAGATGGCTCAGTGGTAGAGCGCTTGCCTTGCATGCCTGAGGCCCTGGGTTCGATTCTTCAGCACCACATAAACAAAAAGAAAAAAGCCGGAAGTGACGCTGTGGCTCAAGTGGTAGAGCGCTAGCCTTGAGCTGAAGGGCTGAGGGACAGCGCCCAGGCCCAGAGTTCAGGCCCCACGACTGGACCCAAAAAAACAAACGAACAAAAAAAACCCAAACAAAAAAAACAACAACAACAAAAAGAAGGGCTAATGTGCTGACTTCAGCCTCTAGATTGCACTTCTGTTTCCATCTAATGATGATGCTCAGTTTTCATCTCCATTCTAGCCCCCTTACCTGCCTTTCCCCTGTGAAGCTTCTGAGATATGCCATCCTAATCTTCCACTCAGCCTTACTCAAATGTTGCCTTGCATCCTATATCATGTGCTTATCTGTGGTGGTTCTTATACACTAACCACATATACCTGGCTTGCTATCTGAACAGGAGCTAGAAGCATCAAAATGTCATTTGAGGTTTGTTTGCAGCCAATTACACTTCTTTGAAAGGATGTATGCCATATTACTTCATTTTGTGAGACAAGGCTGTTGTGTTCACCATTATATCTAGTTTAATGTGTGGCTTATCACAGAGGCTGAATATGTTTATCTCTGGGCTTTGAAGGGAGGAAAAGGGTATGGGTTAGAGTTGGGAAAGGGTGTGGACTGTGGAGATTGGATTGCTTTCCTTCTTGGTTGTTGGGGTGTGGGTTGTGGAAATTGGATTGCTTTCCTTCTTGGTTGTTATTCAGATCTCTGCCATCTGGCAGTGAAGCAGTCTTTAGTTGCAGTCTGTGGTCTTGTCCCTAAGGAGTTATGGATGTACTTAGTATTCTAATAAGGTCACAGTACTTCTCAAAGTTTGAACTCATGTAAAGAATTCTGGAGTCTTATATACATGAGGGAAAATGATGGGAGGAAGAAGCTGGAGAAGGAAGGTGAACCAGGAAAAAGGGGTAGCTCAGAAAATCAGGGCTGATCTAGTTTTTGTATTACTGCTTGTTTATTCCTAGTTTGGAGTGTGTGTGTGTGTGTGTGTGTGTGTGTGTGTGTGTTTCTCTGCACAGCTGTCCTTTCCCAAGGCCCACATATATCTGAGCTCAGGAATATAGTTTCTGTGGGCATGCCTGGTTTCAGGATAAACAGCGTGACCATGCCTGTAGCATATGGATATGATAGGGTTGTGGCCTGAAACCCTGAGCCCCGTTACAAGTATTCTCTATATTGTGTCTCACTGTAACAATTGCTCATTAAATTCCAGGCCTGGCAGCATATGGTTTCTCCCAACATCCTTCTCATTAAATGGAAACTTTAGCTGTGTGGTTAGAACATTTTCCCATCATTTAGCACTTCAGAATTTACGTATTTTGGAGAATTCTGCAATTAGTACTGAAGGCACAATTGCAAAGAATAGAGAAACAGTTAAACCCAAGTTGGTAGATCAGGAACTAACTCCCATGATGGATAAGGTGTATGCTAAGAAAAGATGGGGTTAACAGGAGGATTCGGGGCTCCTCTGTGGCTACTGTAATTAAAGTGGGAAGATGGGCTCAGTTGTTAGCCCCACTTAACAGTACAGATGGCTAATAGCCATATCACTGCAAGTAAAGAGTTAGACTTTTAAGGTCTTTTTTTTTTTCTTTTATGACCCATCCTGTGTATTCCAAGCATAGGTATGGGGGCAGTGAAGAATTTTCTCATTAAAAGTAACGGCTTATTCCCACACTCATTCCCAGTCTTGGGGTGAAAAACCGGTTTCCTTAAACTTGAGGAATTGCCTATCTGTCCTAGCTTATAGAGCTTTCTGATGAGGGTTTCTGGTAGGTGAATTTTATGACCAATCAGTGTTCAAAGTGGATCCAAGTGGAAGGGCTCCAGTTGGCAGGCCTGGTCTCTCTTCCAGTTTTACTTCTAATGAATTCTTTAACCCCTAAACATAGAGCAGCCTGCCACTGTTGTCTTAGGAGAAGTTAGTGCTCATGATTCCCATAGGCTGGAAATTAGGACTCTCTTGGGGTTTGAGGGTGTTTGGCAGCTAGGGTCTTGGAATGAATGCAAGGAGTAGTGGCTGATACTCAGGGACTGGTGTGACCAGGGGTCTCTGCCCTGCTAAATGGGCCTAGACTCCATGGGATTCAGGGATGCAGTAGTTGGTTGGCTTCACTTTGCAACATGTGTCTTGTTTTCCCACAGGGAGTGGGGTCTGCCAGCAGAAACAGTGGGCTGCACAACATCACCTTCAGATATGACAGTAAGTAACTGGTTTCACCATGAAGGATGGAACTGTCCGTAGTATAGCTTACACACTGTACTTAATCAAGTTCAAGCATTACAGATCCTGGGGCTCCAGAATTTTCTGATCCTGTTCAGGTTGGTCAACAGTTAATGCAGCTCATGATGTCCTGTTTAAGCCATTGCAGTATTTGGGAGCTTAAATAGGTCAAATGTCTTCCAGAGTATTCAGAAACATTCCATAGGAAGATCTTCCCTGAGTTTCTCAGCACATAGCTTTGTTCCTAAGGACAAACATAGTTGGGTTAGTAGGGCTCAGCAGAGGGCAAAGCTGCCCAAAATGCAGGACTGTAGGAAATGGGGTAGCCTAAATCTGGTCTGCAGTGGGCATTTTTTGACTTCAGCTCATGGTAGTCTTGAAGAATTCCCATGGAGTACAGCCAGATGTGTTTTTCAAGAATAGCCAAACAGAATGGGCACTGTGACTCATGCCTATTATCATAGCTACTCAGGAGGCTGGGATCTAAGGATTGCAGTTTAATACCAATCTGGGAACACAAATCCAAGAGACTTGTTTGCCAGCTAACTACTAAAATACCAGAAGTAGAGCTGTGGCCCAAGTGGTAGAGGGCCAGCCTTGAACAGAAAAAGCTAAGGTACTGGTCTGTGTATGCATGTATGCTTGTGTGCATGTGTGCACACACACACATACACACACAGACAGAATAGCATTTTCTGTGAGCATTTAAAAATATTGACATTTATTTAAACTTTTTCCAAACACAGCGCACCAGATGAATCCAATGTTCCATGTTAGCCCAGGGGTCTCCAGCTAATCATTTCTGACTTAGATCTAGGTTCCAACTGGAATTCCTCATCTAATTTTGTGAGCTGTGGCAGGTATCTTGACTTCTCCATGCTTCAATTTGCTAATTGAAAAAAAAAAAAAAAATAGAGGCCAGCTGCTGGTGGCTCATGCCTGTAATTCTGTGTACTCAGGAGGCAGAGATCTGAGGATTGAAGTTTGAAGCCAACCCAAGCAGGATTAACCAGCAAAAAGTCAAAAATAGAGGTATGGCTCAAGTGGTAGAACATCAGCCTTGAGCAAAAAAGGTAAGGGATAGTGCCCAGGCCCTGAGTTCAGGTCCCAGAACTGGCGCGTGCACATACACGCGTGCGCGCGTGCACGCACACACACACACACTCACACACACACACACACACACACACACACACACACACACACACACTTCCTTCTCCTAACATCATTTTAAGGCTTAGATGAGGTAATGTTTACACCTGCTCTGCTCAACTTGGTGGTTGGCCTACAGTGTATGTTTTTAAATGTTATTAATTCATATTAGAGATCAATCCAACTGAGGTTGAATACAAGTAACTTGTTTGCCTTTTCTCTTAACAAAGAAACTTTTTTTTCTGGCTAAATTTTTTTCTAAGGATAAGATTAAGGATACTTTTTCTGATTAACTATATAGGACCTTTTACTAAGTAGCTGCTTTTATTTATATGAAAAGGTTTATATTTAGTGGCCATAATTTATATTTTAAAATGACAGGAGGGAGCTTGACTCTTATTTGATGACTCCTAATACCTGATTCAGCTCTTAGAGAGCTGATTGACTTGGGGCTTAGGTTACATGGGGGCCTCTATAATCATCAATACCGAGACAGGATTTTCAAGGTCATAAATTGCAATTGAAGATACAAATGTGTATGTCAGGTTCACACTTGTGGTTGCTGGATTGAACATCTTTTTAAAGCATGACTCACATGTGCCATTAAGGCATTTTATGATAGTAATGTGTGTGTGCTCTGGGTAAGTGCCATAATGGTAATGAAAGATTTGTAAGTCCATGATACTTGATTCAGCTAAGTAAAGACATGTGTAAAGAATCATTGTTTGAGTTAGAAAGTTAATTTCTAATATATTCTTTTGGTCCTGGCAGATCTTGTATTACATTCAAGAGTTCAGAATTTTCTGGTCAACTACAAATAAGCATTTGCCTTTAATTTAATATAGGTTTCGTGAAAAAGTATCTAAATCTGTAAAAAGTATCTATTGTCTTCATTGTACTAAATTTTTAGCCATGTGCCATTGCCTGTCTATTACTCATTACTTTCTTCTTAATTCTCCACCATTTAATTAGAATTTAATTCACAGCTTATATTGACTCCTGAAATATTTGAAACTCAGTTTGGCAAGACATCATTTAAGCATGAAGTTTTTTTGTAATCAGAATCCAAAACTATAGACTTATTAATAATTATAGATGCAGGCTATATTAAGAAAATATATCCAGTATTTTGCATTGAAAAAGATCTTTCTTTCAAAAGGAAGTTCTTGTTATTGCTTAATTGACTGCTTACTAGTTCTGTTTTAAATAACTTGGAACCAATTACCAAGTTTTCACCAAAATTACTAAACTATAAAACTATAAAAATCTTTTGTGTGTGTGTGTGTGTGTGTGTGTGTGTGTGTGTGTGTGTGCACGTGCATGTATGTGTGTGTGCATGCTATTCTTAGGACTTGAATTCAGAGCCTGGGTACTGTCCCTAAGTTTTTTTCCTCAAGGCTGCTGCTCTACCACTTGAGCCACAGTTGCACTTCTGGCTTTTTTGGTAGTTTTTCTTTTTTTTTTTGGGTCCAGTTGTGGGGCCTAAACTCTGGGCCTGGGCACTATCCCTCAGCTCCTCAGCTCAAGGCTAGCGCTCTACCACTTGAGCCACAGCGCCACTTCTGGCTTTTTTCTTTTTGCTTATGTGGTGCTGAGGAATCAAACCCAGGGCCTCAGGCATGCAAGGCAAGCGCTCAACCACTGAGCCACCTTCCCAGCCCTTTTGGTAGTTTTTAATTAGAGATAACAGGCTGCTGATGTACTTTCCTGCTTGGCTGGCTTTGAGTGGTGATCCTCAGACTCAGCATTCTGAGTAACTTGGGTTATAGGTGTGAGCCACCAGTACCAATCATAAAAATCTTTTTGTTGTTTTATGTAGCCCAGGCTGGCCTTGAACTCTCTTCTACCTCAGCCTCTGGGGTACTGAGATTATAGGTGTGTACCACCAACCTGATTTTTCTATTTCTTTGTCATTTAATGGTATGAAGGAAGAAAACATCTTTCTATTAAGTCATGAATGAATTTTACAAGTCTCCTTGCCTCTCAGGACCCAGCATATCGCATTTCTCCTTTAGTCTCTTGAGGGGGTATACCTAAGTAGGTTATACTACATTTTTTTAAATTCTTAGACTTTCTTTGTATTTGCATAATTGTATTTATAGAAACCCAAAGACTGTTACTTTTGACATTAGAAATGAACAAAGATGAAAATATCCCATGATTCCTTTTTGTTTATGTATCTTTTCAGAATGAAGTGTTTTCTCTTATATTACAGACCTGAATAAATGAAAATACTGGGACTTTTACAAGTAGAATAGGATCTTGTGTTTTTTGGGGGAGGAAGCCAGTCTCAACTGGGTTTTTTGTAGACTGAACACAGACAGAGCTTCTAGGAGTAATAATATACTCTGTGCAAATGGCCAGATATAGGACCCCCAGAGGATTCCCTGGGCCAGTCAGTGGTAGGGTTCTAGGACCCCTAGTTGATCCCTTGTGACAATAATTCCCTCATTTGCACAATGTGAATGTTAAATGAGATGGTGACATTTTCCTTCATATCCTAAATTTCTCTTCTGCAGTCAGAAAATACAAGGTGATTGCATTGAGAGTAAATTTTAACCAGAAGTAGAATTTGGTTTTATTATTAACATTCTTTCAGTTGAAGAAATAGTAAAGTATAAGTGTAACCTTTTGAAGTCAAGACTTTGTACATTAGCTTAGCTTTTTCCTCAAGGCTGCCTCTACTACTGAGCCACAACCAGCTTTTTTTTTTTTTCCCTAGCTAATAGGGACTATGTATTGCAGACTTTTTTTTTTTTTTTTTTTTTGGCTAGGGCTGGTTTCAAACTTTGATCTTCAAATCTCAGCCTTTTGAGTAGCTAGGATTATAAGGTAAGATCCACAAGCACCTACCTGGTAATATGACTGTTTTTAAACCTAGTTGGAGCTTAGGGAAGGGAGTGCGTATAATGTGGTTAGGCCAGAAATCAGGACACAAGAAACTGGGGATGTTGGAGTTATAAGTGGGGGTGTAGCCAGGCACCAATGGCTCATACCTGTTTGTAGTTACTCAGGAGGTTGAGATCTGAGGTTCGCAGTTCAAAGCCAGCCAAAGAAGGAAAGTATATAAGATTCTTATTTCTAATTAACTACCAAAAAGCTAGAACTAGAGCTGTGGCTCAAGTGGTAGAGTGCTAGCCTTAAGCAAAAGAAACTCAAGAACTGTGTCCAGGTCCTGAATTCAGGCTCCAGAACTGGTGCATGCATGTGTGCTTGTACATGCACGCACGCATGTGCGCGCGCACACACACACACACACACACACACACCAAGTGAGGATGCGATCTAGCATATAGATACTATGCTTCAACAAGAGAAAAAAAGGAATTTTATGCACATGCTAAATGAGTTAGAAAAGGGATCAGTTAAAATGTTGATTACAGTTACCTGCATGTGGTAATAGAGTGCAGATGACTTTTATATTATTTTGTTTTTTTTGTTTTTGTTATTTTGATTTTATATTCCTTTGTAATTTTCAAATATCTCCAATGGACATTTAAGTTATAAACATGAAGAACGTATAATGCAGTTTCTTAGAAATGTCCTGTAGGCCAGGTGCTGGTGGCTCACGTCTTTAATCCTAGCTACTCAGGAAGCTGTCATGTGAGGACTGTGGTTCAAAGCCAGCCTGGGTAGGAAATCCATATTGCCAGTAAACCACCAGAAACAAAACAAAATGGAAGTGGCACTGTGGCACAAGTGGTAGAGCGCTTGTCTTGAGCTGAAGAGCTGAGGGACAATGCCTGGGCCCAGAGTCAAGCCCCACGACCAACCAAAAGAAAAAAGAAATATCCTGTAAATGTCTCACCCCTAAAAAGTCCGCCTTGCATCAGTGGCATACCATGCAGGTTTGGACCTTTGATGGCACAAAGACCTTTTGAAACAGATAACTGAGGAAGCTATTTTCCTGGGCTCCTTGAGAGGGAAAAAAAAAACCGCTAGAGAGGAAGCAGCTTGAGAGTGAGCTACTATCTTCTGGGAATGACCGGGTTTTTGTTTGTTTGTTTTTTCCTTCAAGAGTGGATAGAGTAGTGGTGCTATCATACTCTGAAATCTCAGCCTGATACTGACTGCTAGCTTGTGGCAATTTTTTAGGTGTGTTTAGCAGTACCAGATGGTGCAGGTGCTTACACAGTTGTGAGTAGTGGCCTCAGACCAAATCAAAGAAGATAGATTTTGTGTTTTTGAACAGTGGAAAGCTTTTTGGATTTTGTGGGGATTGTGGGTATCTTTGAAGATATATGGCTTTTGGAAACAAAAGCTTTGCCTTTTGAATGCTGATAAGCATCCTTACCTCCTAGTCACTCAGGTGTTGGTACTGTCAGCGTAGTTAACAGTCTGGTTGTAAGTCCCTTCAGTGCAGATTCATAACTACATATCAGTTCCTTCCACTCTCCAAATTTATTCTAAAAAACAAGCAAATTGCTTACCAGTATTTTCCTCCAGATAACTCTTCAGTGCTGAAAATTGTTTGAATTGATGCAAATATTTACTGATTTACATAAAATGTTACAAGAGTTAAAAGGAAGTTATTGCTAGACACGCAAATGATGCATTGTATATGATCCTTCTCATACTATGCTGAAATTTAACTGGGGGAGGGTAAGTGGTGGTAATGGTCTGCAAACAAATCACTCTGCTGCATATTTGTGTGTGTACTGGGACTTGAACTTAGGACCTCACACTCTCTTTTGACTTTTTACATTCAGAGCTGTCTCTCTACCATTTGAGCCATGCTACTTTTTGTGTGTGTGTGTGTGTGTGCCAGTTGTGGGGCTTGATCTCTGGGCCTGGGCGCTGTCCCTCAGCTCTTCAGCTCAAGGCAAGCGCTCTACCACTTGAGCCACAGGGCCACTTCCGGCTTTTTCTGCTTATGTGGTGCTGAGGAATCGAACCCAGGGCCTCATGCATGCAAGGCAAGTGCTCTACTACTGAGCCACCTTCCCAGTCCATGCTACTTTTTTTTGAGCAACTTTTTGCTGGTTAATTGGAAATGAAATTCTCATGGATTTTTATGCCCAGACTGACTTTAAAGTGTGGCCCTCAGATCTCAGCCTCCTGCTTAACTAGGATTACAGCCGTGAGCCACCAGCGAGTGCCCCAGTGTGCTTCATCTAATAGTTTCCCCAACAGTAGTCAACTTTTTTTTTTCCCTCTCCATGAGTCTTCCTGCCCTCTAATAAAGTACCTCCTTTGTCTTATTTTTTCTTTTTCTTTTCTTTTCTTTTTTTTTTTTTTTGTCGGTCGTGGGGCTTGAACTCTGGGCGAGGACACTGTCCCTGTGCTCTTCAGCTCAAGGCAAGCGCTCTACCACTTGAGCCAGAGCTCTACTTCCGGTTTTCTAGTGGTTTATTGGAGATAAAGAGTCTCACGGAGTTTCCTGCCTGGGCTGGCTTTGAACCATGATCCTCAGAACTCAGCCTCCTGAGTAGCTAGGATTACAGGCGTAAGCCACCAGTGCCTGGCTCAGTAGTCAACTTTTAATGTCGTATTTGGGCTTTCCAGGAAAATAATCTTTTTTTTTTGATCATAGGGCTTAAAATTGGAGTCTGGTACCTCTGAGTTTTTTCTGTCAAGGCTAGTACTCTACCACTTTGAGCCACAGTGCCACTTCTACTTTTCTGGTTTTCAATTGAAGATTGTCCAGGTTGGCTTCAAACCGCGATCCTCAGATCTCAGCCTCCTGAGTAGCTAAGATTACAGGTGTGAGCCACTAGCACCCAGCAGGCAAATAGCTTTAAATAACATGTTCTGTGTAGCTTGGTAAGATGAAATGGAAAGTAAAATAAAAATTTAACTGTTCTCATTGTCCCAACTCTCCAGACTGTACTACCTACATGAATCCAGTGGGGAAGCATGTGATTGCTGATGCCCAGAACATCACAATCAGCCAGTACGCTTGCCACGACCAAGTGGCAGTCACCATTCTTTGGTCCCCAGGGGCCCTAGGTACGTGGTAAGTCAGCTCCACTGTGGTAAGCTGGGTGAGCTGGGGTGTGTGTAAGCCACTAGTCAAGCAGGACTTGATAAGAGGAAGCTCACATTGGGTTGGGCATTTGAACACTTGGTTCTTAGTTGTACTCACTTGCTAGACAGCCTCTCTGTGGCTCTTCTTTTGTTTCCTTGATCATGATTGAGTTATGAGTTTGATAAATAATAGTTTGATAAATAGCACTGAGGCCTTGGTCTCTATAACTGGAGGGAGGGAGGGGGCAGTGCCGGGAGAGGCTGTGGTCCATCCAAGGACATAAATGTCTTTGGCATCCAGGATGCTCTGTGGCCACAAGGACATGCAGGCCCAGTATTGGCACATTTTGTAATTTTTCAGGAAAAACCTGGTTTCCATGAGAAACCATGAAATGAATTAATTTGTAAGTTGGCTAAAAAATGAAATTTTATGTATACTGTGCATCTCCATCTCCAAAACAATCAAGAAAACAGAAATAAATCAAACACATCTTACCTAGCAGGATTACAGTTGGCTAAATCTTTCCCCTTGAGTGAATTGTCGATACCTAGAAGAAGAAAAGATCGTTCAACTAGGCTTGGGTTTTCCAAGAAGAAGCCTTTTCCTTTTTGAGGGGCAAGGTCACATTTTCTAGCCTACACTGGCTGTGAACTTGCAAGCCTTCTATTACTCTGGGTACTTTCCCTTAGCTTTTTCACTCAAAGCTGCTACTTTACCATTTGAACCATACTTCCACTTCTAGCTTTTTGATGGTTAATTGGAGATAAGAATATGTCTGCTTGTGTTGTCCTCGAACCTAGATTCTTAGAGCTTAGCTTCTGGAGTAGTCTGATTACAAGCTGGTGAGCTACCAGCATTCTCCTCATCTATAAGTGGGAATATTTGTACCTTTCTTCTGTAGTTGCTAGGAGGAGTTACTAAGCTTAAATGATCAGGGGGGGGGGGGAGAGGGAGAGAGAGAGAGAAAGTACACACAGAATGTCCCTTCAGTAAAGATTGCTTTGTAAGATTGCTAATTACATAACTTCTAGGAGGTAATATCCCTGTGATAGAAGATTTAGATTTGCTGCTCCTATTTTCAGCCCCAGATTTAGCATCATGATATTTGGTCTGGATTAAAAAAATGAGACTATGGGCTGGGAAGGTGGCTCAGTGGTAGAGTGCTTGCCTTGTATGCATGAGGCCCTAGGTTCGATTCCCCAGCACCACATAAGCAAAAAGAAAAAAGCCCGAAGTGGCGCTGTGGCTGAAGTGGTAGAGTGCTAGCCTTGAGCTGAAGAGCTGAGGGACAGCACCCAGGCCCAGACTTCAGGCCCCATGACCAGACCCCCCGCCCCCAAAAAGAGACTTGAACCACACAGGCTCACCCCAACTGATCAGTTATTAAGTACTTGTGAGGTACTTGGCCTTTAATCACACCAGTAACCCAGCTATTGTTAAACAATAGTTCTGTGAACATTGTACAAATTCAATAGTAAGGTTTTTTTTTCCTAAGTCTTTTACTTCCCCTTCTTAATCTCAAAAGGCAAAAATCTTCTGAGATCTAATAAATCAGTTGGTCCAAAGATCTTGTATCTTGTCATCACATGTGAATCTCTGGCTGTGGGTGTGCTGGCTGCCAAATCACAGGAAGCTCTATGATTGAAGAGCAGCATGGCTAGTTAGTTAGTTCTTGTTTATTGTAGAATTCTGTACCTCTACAATAAGAGGCTCTAATTATGGAGCTGCTCTACACTATACACCATGAAATGTGTGCTCTTCATCAAATAATTATAGGATTTGGATAATGTACTCAAAAAGCATTTCCCTGGCCTTTGCCATCAACAGTTTTCCCACCTGGTTAATTGCATCCTGTGTCATTACTTTTGCCCTAGGAGGGGAAGGGTTGAAAATGTCTCCTTGTCTAGTGTTCAGAAAGAATGTGAAATCGATATCTTGCCAATTGAGGCCAGCTTTGGGGATCTCCAGCTGCAGTTGGATCATTCTAGCCTCCAAGGGATACAGAACCCTGGTGCTGGCTCTTGTGGCCATCAAAGCTTAATCCTTTTGAAAGCATCTAGTGGGACTTGCAGCGGGGGACGTTCAGGGGGGAAGTTCAGGTAGCTAGAGGCTGAGTTGGTGCTTTTGACCAGCTCTGTGGGCATCTCAGGGCCTCTGAGGGCTGTATGAAGAGCCCACAGGGCAGCCCTTGGGTGTCTGCCTTTCAGGAATGATTAGAGCAAGAACTGCTTTGTAAATCACATTGGCATTCTCCTAAATGATTTAATCTCAAACCTAGACACCCCTTGAGTGCAGTCATACACTTTGTTGTGAATTTGCTCAATCAGTGAGTGAAACATGCCAAAAAATAGAGAGCCAAAACCTAAAGTTGAAACATGGCATTCAAACATTCCCTAGTTAATACTGGAAGTTATTCTCAGCTGAATGCCCCTGCTTAGTGACCTATGAATTATATAGTCTACTGTAGACTTTTATGATCAACTGTGATTCTAGCCTAGTATCCCAGAGGCAATGAGTATTTGTAAAATGTCTAGGTAGACCAGACATTAATTATATAAGCAATGGTGAGACAGAGGAAATCACCTGGCATGTCCCAGAAAAATGCTGGGAATGCACTTTACCATTGTGTGAACTCAGACATTCTGAACACAGTAAGAAGTCCTTTACCTCTGATGTGTGGGTGGAGAGAATGGTAACCTTGGAGGAGGAAAAGTGTGTTCAGAAGTAATTAGGTCTGCTTTTCATAAAAGCATTCTGCTTTGCCTAGGCATCGAATTCCTAAAAGGATTTCGAGTAATACTGGAGGAGCTGAAGTCTGAAGGAAGACAGTGCCAACAACTGATTCTAAAGGACCCCAAGCAGCTGGATAGTAGCTTAAAAAGAACTGTAAGTCAAGGGCTGGGAAGGTGGTTCAGTGTAGAGTGTTTGCCTTGCATGCATGAGGCCCTGGGTGTGAACTCAGCACCACACAAGCAGAAAAAGCTGGAAGTGGCGCTGTGCCTCAAGTGGTAGAACGCTAGTCTTGAGCTGAAGAGCTGAGGGTCAAGGGCCCAGTCCCAGAGTTCAGGCCCATGACTGACAAAAAAAAACAAAACAAAACTGTAAGTCACACCCAGAAAATGTGCTTCTGAAGACCTGCCATTGTTCCTGGGGTCTGAAGGGTCTATTGAAAGGCTGACATTGGAGAAGGAGGAGGGGCTGTGGGGTCCATTGCTCCTCTCCAAGGAGGTAGGAGAATGGGAAGGCATGCCTAGAGCAGTTCTCTACTCACTGGGAAACTCTATAGCACCTCTCTGTGGTAAACACAAGTCTTGAGTTATATTCAGGAACCATCCTGGAAATGTCTGTGCTCTGAGGAGTTATATGGACTCACCCTCTCTACCCCTAGTCTGACCTTTAATGCAGACAAGCCATGGCTTCCTTGCTTGCCCAAAATCAGACTGTACTGGCCATCTTCAGAGTTGGGGATCAAAGCCTAGACTTGGTCCAGGAAATAGTGACTTAGTGCTTCCCTTGGACTCTGGAATTGTGAGAGTCAGGCTGTAAGCGGAAGTGGGGGTGGTGTTTCCATAATGCCACATATGTTTTTGTTCCTTTTTAGGGAATGGAATCTCAACCTTTTCTCAACATGAAATTTGAAACGGATTACTTTGTAAAGATTGTCCCTTTCCCTTCCATCAAAAATGAAAGCAATTATCACCCCTTCTTCTTCAGGACCAGAGGTGAGTGTAGATTTTCCTGCCTGGTGGTTGTGAGGAGTTTCAATGATTTCTTAGCACAAAGGTGTTCAAGAGCCCACCAGATATTGGTATGAAACAGCAGACAAGAAGAAAAGCATTTAGAAAAGTAATATAGAAATGTATTTTTGCCAGACACTGGTGGCTTCTACCTGTAATCCTAGCTACTTAGGAGGCTGAGATCTGAGGATCACAGTTTGAAGCCAGCCCAGGCAGGAAAGTCCATGAGCCTCATCTCCAATTAAGTTCATGAACAGCACCCAGGCCCTGAGTTCAAGCCCCACAACAGACCATCCCCCCGCCAAAAAATTTGTGTGTGTATATGTGTGTGTGTGGTGTGTGTATTGGCGGGGCAGGGGGGTTGGTCGTGGGGCTTGAACTTTGGGCCTGAGTGCTGACCCTGAGCTCTTCAGCTCAAGGCAAGTGCTCTACCACTTGAGCCACAGTGCAACTTCTGGTTTTCTGGTGGTTAATTGGAGATAAGAATGTCACGGACTTCTCACAAGGTTACCTTTGAACTGTGATCCTCAGATCTCATCCTTCTGAGTAGCTAGGATTACATACATACATACATACATACATACATACATACATTTTATATATATATATATATATATGTATATATATGTATATATATATATATATATATATATATTTTTTTTTTTTTTTTGCTACTCGTGGAGCCTGAACTCTGGGCCTGGGTGCTGTCCCTGGGCTTTTCAGCTCAAGGCTAGCGCTCTACCACTTGAGCCACAGCATGACTTCCTGCTTTTTCTGCTTATGTGGTGCTGAGGAATCGAACCCAGGGCCTCATGCAAGATTGCATGCATGAGGCCCTGGGTTCGATTCCTCAGCACCACATAAGCAAAATGAAAAAAAAAGCCGGAAGTGGTGCTGTGGCTCAAGTGGTAGAGCGCTAGCCTTGAGCTGAAGAGCTGAGGGACACTACCAGGCCCCAGAGTTCAGGCCCCACGACCGGATTCTCCCCCCCCCCCCCCAAAAAAAAAAGAAACAAAAAACTAAGGTTGGGCCCTATTAACCAGAGACACTCACACCACTCCTGGTTTGTTTTAGACCAGACCTGACAGTTACTTCTTTTTTTTTTTTTTTTTTAAAGATTATAGTTGTGAGCTACTAAAACCAGGCATTTTTTAAAATTTTGTTTTAAACATTTGTTGTTGTTATTGGTGATGGGACTTAAACTCTGAGCCTGGGCACTATCCCTCAGCTCTTCAGGTAAGCATTCTACCACTTGAGCCACAGTGCCACTACCAACTTTTTCTGCTTATGTGGTACTGAGGAATTGAACTCAGGGCCTCATGCATGCAAGGCAAGCACTTTACCAATGAGCTACCTTCCTAGTCCCCGACAGTTACTTTTTGAGGACACTGTGACCACCATTAAGGTGGCCAGTTACAAAACAGTGTGATTGTTGTAGGCTGGAGGTGTGGCTAAAAGGTAGACCATGCTTACCTAGCATGTAAAAGAAAAATGTGACTTTTTTTTTTGGGTCTGTTATGGGGCTTAAACTCTGGGCCTGGGCACTGTCCCTGTGCTCTTCAGCTGAAGGCAAATGCTCTAGCACTTGAGCCACAGCACCACTTCCAATTTTCTGGTGGTTAATTGGAGATAAGAGTCTCATGGACTTTCCTACCTAGGCTGGCTTTGAACCGTGATCCTAAGATCTCAGCCTCCTGAGTAGCTACAATTACAGGCATGAATCACTGGTACCTGGCTCTGCAAATGTGATTTGTTTTTAAAATGGAAAACCAAAACCAAATGTGATTTTTTTTTTTGTTTTTTTTTTTTTTTTGGGTCCGGTCATGGGGCCTGAACTCTGGGCCTGGGTACTGTCCCTCAGCTCTTCGGCTCAAGGCTAGCACTCTACCACTTGAGTCATAGCGCCACTTCCAGCTTTTTTCTTCTTGCTTATGTGGTGCTGAGGAATTGAACCCAGGGCCTCATGCATGCAAGGCAAGCATTCTACCACTGAGCCATCTTGCCAGCCCCCAAATGTGATTTTTTTTTTAAAATAATTTTTTTGTTGTTGTTGGTCGTAGGGCCTGAACTCTGGGCCTGGGCGCTGTCCCTCAGATCTTCAACTGTAGACTAGCGCTCTACCACTTGAGCCACAGCGCCACTTCTGGCTTTTTTCTTTTTTTGCTTATGTGGTGCTGAGGAATTGAACCCAGGGCCTCATGCATGCAAGGCAAGCGCTCTACCACTTAGCCACCATCCCAGCCCCCAAATGTGATTTTTTTTAAATGCAGGAATAAAAATTTTAGATGGTTGGTCACTGGTGTTCCACGCTTGTGATCTTAGCTAATCAGGAGTCCGAGATCTAAGGATTATGGTTCAAGGCCAACCATGGCAGAAAAGTTCAAGAGACTTATCTGCAATTAATCAGCAAAAAACCCAGAAATGGAGCTTTAAGTGGTATAGCACCATCTTTGAGCATAAACCTATGGGACAATGTCCAGGCTCTGATTTCAAGCTCCAATATCAACACAGACACACACAGACACACACACACACAGACACACACAGACACAGACACAGACACACACACACACACACACACAAACACACACACACACACACACACACACACACACACACACACACACACACACACACACACACACACACACACACACACACACACCAGTTGACTCAAGGGTAAACCTGTCATCAGGAGGGTAGTCAAAAGTAGACTAAATTTAAGCAGGGTTCCCAAGATGATCTCTTTCTATACAGATTTTGCATGAATGTACCAAGCTCTGTTCTAAATGCTTCCAATTTTCAATATAGTTTATCTCTATGACAACCTTATGAGGACACAATCCTCTCTATAAGTGTGTGATGTGGTGTATATATGTGAAACTGAAAGAGAAAGCCTAGCGCTGGGATTTGAACCCTAAAGACCAGCTGTAGAGTCCATAGTCCAAACCACAAGCTATTCTGGGTTCCAGTAGCTCACCTTTCCCAGCTCTCCTGTACCTGTCCTGTCTCCTTAATCTTCCAGACTTTACTGCTTTCAAACTTGATATCCAGTCATTCTGAAACCTGCAGTAGTGCCTACTGCTTCCTGATCAGTCTTCCTATCTGACAATCCAAGGATAGTCAGCTGACAGTCCATTTTGAAATTCTCTCTGTGATCTGGTTGCAGTCCTTCTTGGTGAGATTTTTGGCTTTCACTATAGCCTGCATCAACATTTCCCTTTATAGAATTCTTTTTTACTTTGTGCCAATATTGGGGTTTGAACACAGGGCCTTAGCTTTCCTACTCAAGAATGGCACTCTACCATTTGAGCCACAGGTTCACTTTTGGCTTTTTGCTGGTTTAATGGGAGATAAGAATCTCACAGACCTCTTGCCTGCACTAGCTTTGAAACAATTTTCAGATCTCAGCCTCCTGACTAGCTAGGATTACAGATTTGAGCCATGAGTATCTGGCTAGGATTTTATATTAGATCACTCTGAAAATTAAAACAACCTTGTGCAGCTACTAGAGCCACTCTAAAATGCTTTTGTGCAAAGACAGCAAAAACAGGGCATCTACTTGATAGAAACATGAACAGTTTCATTGCTCTAGGCCTCCTGCCTTCCTGACAAGCTTTCAAAAGTGACTTTACATTGTTTCCATTCATGTGGCAAAACTACACTACATTAATATTTTTATATTGGACTATTAAATTTTCACGAGACAGAACTGCACTGTGGTGAAAATCATTGTTGGATTGTTATATTTTGTACCCATGCCAGTAGTACCATGCCCCATACTGTTATATTTTATTGCATTGTTGGATAGAGACAATGTTAAATTGTTCTAAATCAAAAAATCTCTTTCTTTTATTAGCCTGTGAGCTATTGTTACAACCAGACAACCTGGCCTGTAAACCCTGTAAGTAGAGCTGTTCTTATCTATGTTGTCCCTGGGATGGTGTCCTGCCTGAGCTTCCTCTGGGCTGCCTCTGAGTCCTTTCTAGATACTGACTCTGAGTCTTCCTCTCTCCTAGTCTGGAAGCCTCGGAACCTGAACATCACCCAGCATGGTTCAGATATGCAGGTGTCCTTCGACCATGCTCCACACAGCTTTGGCTTTCATTTCTTCTACCTTCATTACAAGCTCAAGCATGAAGGACCTTTCAGGAGAAAGACTTGTAAGCAGGTGAGCAGCCATGTGGATGTCAAGAGCCCAGTGTGTTTCAGAGTGATTCCTCGGCCCTGGAATCCACATGGCACAATGTGAACTGTTGGCTCTGATGGTCAGTAGATATTGAACAATGGTTATTGCTAGATACGTCTCTTTTATTGTTGTCCTATTATTCCTTCCTCTCTGGTTATTTACTTCTCAGCTGTTTACTAATGGATCAAATGAATTCATATTTATTTTTTGTGGGTTTTTTTTTTTTGTCGGTCGTAGGGCTTGAACTCTGAGCCTGGGCACTGTCCCTCAGCTCTTCAGCTCAAGGTGAGCGCTCTACCACTTGAGCTACAGCGCCACTTCCGGTTTTCTGGTGGTTTATTGGAGATAGGAGTCTCACGGTCTCTACTGCCCGGGCTGGCTTTGAACCGCGATCCTCAGATCTCAGCCTCCTGAGTAGCTAGGATTACAGGCGTGAGCCACCAGCGCCCGGCTTCTTGTGGGTTTTTTTGTATATGTATATTTTGGTTTTTTTTGGGGGGGGTTATTAGGTTTTTTTTTTTTTGGCAGTCGTGGGCCTGAACTCTGGGCCTGGGAGCCATCCCTCAGCTCCTCAGCTCAAGGCTAGCATTCTACCACTTGAGCCACAGGGTCACTTCCAGCTTTTTCTGCTTATGTAGTGCTGAGGAATTGAACCCAGGGCCTCACGTGTGCGAGGCAAGCACTCTACCACTGAGCCATCTTCCCAGCCCTTGTTAGGTGTTTTGTTTGATACTGTGCTTTGAACTCAGGGCCTTTCACTTGGCAAATGCTCTACCACTTAAGCCACTTGTCCAGCCCTATTTGTTGTTGTCTTGTTCTATGTGGTAAACATTCATCAGATCTCAACGTGAGGCAGATAATTAGACTTTCTTTTCTCTAAATCCTTACCACTACATGAAACAAAGACTATTGTCATACTCTCATCCCCTGCTATCTTTACCTTTGGGAAACCAAGGAAGTCACTTGACTTGCTCAAGGTCACACAGAAACACCACTAACCAAACCACAAGCAATTTAAATACTGTACCATTGACTTTATCATAGGTGAAGGTTAAATAGAAACTCAGCCATCAAAATCTGAAACTAAAGCTGATCAGAGGAGTAGGAATGTTTCATGGCAGTACAAAGGATGATCAGATCACTCCCTGCAAGTACCGAGAGATTTTTTGCTTTCGCTTTTTGTTGTTGTTCTTCCAATTTACTCCATTGTTTTACAGGTGATATATGGTGGGGTTACCTTTACATACATCAGAAAATAAGCACATCTCCTATTGCATAGTGTCATCTGTTCCCTCAGTCACTCCCATTCCCTCTCTCCTATCTCCATCCACGAGTTGCATAGTTCACTTTCATCAGTGTCCAGTGCAGCCAGTGCACTCCACTGCTACGCATTTTCACCCTTTTCCCTTGGATTCTATACCCTCCCCCCATCATCCCTCGGATGTAGATGTAGATGGAATACATCCTATACAAGGTAATCATTTGTTTCCATATCTTTGGAGTTTGTTTCAGTATGTATATTATTTTATATACATATAAGGGGCGCTTGGTTATTGCACCTTTGTGATTCTCTCCTCAGATTCTCTTTTTGTGATTCTCTTTTGGTCTCACTATATGTGGGTATCTAGAATTCTCTGTATTTTGTCATATCCCAGTGCCTTGTAGATACAATTACTGTATATCAGGGAGATCATGCCGTTTGTCTCTCTAATCCTGGCTTACCTCACTTAATATGATTTATTCTAGTTCCATCCATTTCCCTACAGATGATATTTTATTCTTTCTAAAAAATGGCCGTGTAAGCCGGGCACTGGTGGCTCACGCCTGTAATCCTAGCTACTCAGGAGGCTGAGATCTGAGGATCGCAGTTCAACGCCAGCCCGGGCAGGAAAGACTGTGAGACTCCTATCTCCAATAAATCACCAGAAAACCGGAAGTGGCGCTGTAGCTCAAGTGGTAGAGCGCTCGCCTTGAGCTGAAGAGCTGAGGGACAGCACCCAGGCCCAGAGTTCAAGCCCCACGACCGACAAAAAAAAAAAAAAATGGCCGTGTAAAATTCCATTGTATATAAGTACCGCATTTTTTTAGATCTGCTCATCCATTGTGGGGCATCTGGGCTATTTCCATATTTTAGCTATTGTGAATAGTGCAGCAATGAACATGGATGTGCAGGTGTCTTTATCATATCCTGACTCATGATGCTTAGGGTAGATGTCCAGGAGTGGTACAGCTGGGTCATAAGTAAGGTCTACGTTTTTTGAGGAATCTCCAGACTGCTTTCCATAGTAGTTGTACTAGTTTACATTTCCACTAGCAGTGAAGTAGTGTTCTTTTGTCCCCATATCCCGCCAGCATTTGTTGTTAGAATTCAAAATCTTGGCTAATATAACTGGAGTAAGATGGTATTTTGGGGTTGTTTTGGTTCGCATTTCCTCTATGGCCAGGGATGATGAGCATTTCTTCATGTGTTTCTTTTACCTCTTTTTTTTTTTTTTTGAGGGGGCGGGGGTTGGTCATGGGGATTGAACTCTAGGTGCTGTCCCTCAGCTCTTCAGCTCAAGGCTAGCACTCTACCACTTGAACCACAGTACCACTTCGGGTTTTCTGGTGATTTGTTGGAGATAAGAGTCTCATGGATTTTCCTGCCCAGGCTGGCTTTGAACTGCAATCCTCAGCTCTCAGCCTCCTGAGTAGCTAGGATTGCAGACATGAGCCACTGGGGCCCAGTTCCTCATGTGTTTCTTTGCCATTTGTACCACTTCTTCGGAGAAGTCTCTTTTTAGCTCCCTTGCTCATTTAGTAATATGTTTATTAGGTTTGGGAGGGGTTACCTTCTTGAGCTCCTCATATATATTGGCTATTAGGCTTATGTCTGATATATTGCTGGTAAAGATATTTTCCCAATTTGTTGGCTGTCTTTCTAGCTTAGTAACCATGTCCTTAGCTGTGCAGAAACTTTTCTATTTATTTGTTTATTCATTCATTCATTCATTCATTTCAATCATGGGGCCTGAACTCTGGGCCTGGGCACTGTCCCTCAGCTCTTTAGTTCAAGGTTAGCACTCTACCACTTGAGCCACAGTGCCACTTCCTGCTTTTCCTGCTTATGTGGTGCTGAGGAATCAAACCCAGGGCCTCATACATGCAAGGCAAGCACTCTACCACTGAGCCACCTTTCCAGCCCAGAAAGTTTTTATTTTAATGTAGTTCCACTTGTTGAGTCTCTCTTATTTGTTATGACCCTGGGACTCTTATTCAGGAAGTTTCTGCCAATACCTATAAGTTCTAATTCTCTCTTGCAGTAGTTTCAAGTCTGACATTGAGGTCTGAATTGATGTTGGTGTATGGTGACAAGCAGGGATCCACTTTTAGTTTTCTGCATGTGGCTGCCCTGTTTTCCCAACAGCAATTGTTGAAAAGGCTATGTTTTTTCCATGTATGGCTTTGGCTCCTTTGTTGAATATCAGATGATTGTAAGTATGTGGTTTTATTTCTGAGTCTTTTAATCTGATCTGTTCCATTGTTTTTTGGGTCTGTGTTGTTTTTTTTAGTTTGTTTTGTTTTTTGCTGGGGGGCCCGGTCGTGGGGCCTGAACTCTGGGCCTGGGCGCTGTCCCTCAGCTCTTCAGCTCAAGGCTAGCACTCTACCACTTGAGCCACAGCGCCACTTCTGGCTTTTTTCTTTTTGCTTATGTGGTACTGAGGAATCGAACCCAGGGCCTCAGGCATGCAGGGCAAGCACTCTACCACTGAGCCACCTTCCCAGCCCCATGGGTCTATGTTTGTGTCAATACCAAAATGTTTTTGTTATTATGGCTCTGTAGCAGAGTTTGAAATCTGGTATTGTGATACTTACTGCATTGCTTCTTTTGCCTAGAATTGATTTGGCTATTCTAGGTCTTTGGTTGTTCCATATGGTTTTTTAAAAAATTGTTTTCTCTATCTCAGTAAAGAATGTCATTAGGATTTTGATGGGGATTGTGTTGAATTTGTATATTTGTTTTTGACAATATGGTCATTTTTCACAATATTGATTCTACCTATCTATGAACATGGAAGATCTTTCTATTTCCTGGTATGCTCTTTGATTTCTTTCTTAGATTTTTATAGTTTTTGCTATAAAGATCTTTTACATCTTTGGTTAGGTTGATTCCTAGGTATTTTTCTTTGTTGAGGTTATTGCAAATGGAGTTGTTTTCATAATTTCCCTTTCTCCTTGTTCATTGTTGGCATACAGAAGGGCTACTGATTTGTTGGTTAATTTTGTATCTTGTTACTTTGCTGAAGTTGGTTAGCTCTAGGAGTTTGGGGGTATAGCATTTAGGTCCTTTATGTATTAGATCATGTCATCTACAAATAGTGATAGTTTAATTTCTTCTTTCCCTATGTGAATCCCTTTAATATCCTTTTCTTGCCTTAGTGCTCTGTCTAGGAATTGCAGAACTATACTGAAGAGGAGTGGAAAGTGTGGCCATCCTTACCTTGTTCCTGGTTTTAAGGGAAATGATTTTAGTTTTTCCTCATTTAGTATGTTGATTGGTCTGCCATACTAAAAACATTTATTGTTTTAAGGAATGTTCCTTCTATTCCTAGTTTCTCCAAAGCTTTTAACATGAATGGATGTTGTATTTTATCAAAGATTTTTCTGCATCAGTTGAGCTGATCATGTGGTTCTTGTCCTTGGCTCTGTTGACTTGGTTCCATTTATTAATTTGTGTATGTTAAACCAGCCTTGCATCTGTGGGATGAAGCCTACTTGGTAATAATGTATGATTTTGTATTTGTTTCTGAATTCTGTTGGCTAATTTTTTTGTTGTTGTTCGTAAGGCTTGAACTCTAGGCTTGGGTGCTGTCCCTGCGCTCTTCAGCTCAAGGCGAGTGCTCTACCACTTGAGCCACAGCGCCACTTCTGGTTTTCTCTTGCTTTATTGGAGATAAGAGTCTCACGGACTTTACTGCCTGGGCTGGCTTTGAACTTCAATC